CAGCTGATCCTAATAATCTACTCTACTTCAAGTTTGGGCCCCAATATTAGGTGCCAATATCGTCAGAATCGCTATGAATTTCACCGCGCGCAGCTCGAATCGCACGATTGTACACACCCGGGTGGGGAACTACGATCGAAAGAGATTTCTTGGAAAATTCTTAGTCATCGGAATTGGAAAGAAGCAGCTATGACTGATATTTATATTCTAAATCTAAATATTTGTATGATGGCTAAATCCAAGAAGGGAGATTTGCGATCTTGACTTCAAAAATGGACAAGGAGATCTCACCAAGTGCAGCATATGGATCATCACAATCCATCGACATCAGCTCTTTCACTTTCGATGTTACTTCTCGAACATCATCTAGCGATATGGCTACTCTTAGCTCGTCCACAACATAGGCTGGTCTACGTGACTTTTTATTCGCTCGTGCTAGTAGCTCCCTACAAATCATACGTCCATTTCTTTCAACAACTAGCCAGTAAAACAGCAGTGAGGATAAATTAGATGAGAATAAGTTGATTAAGTAGTAAGGGAATAACACAGTACCTTGCAAAGGCTAGTACAGTTCTGTTTCGTCCTCCCATTCTATAAAGACAGCTTGCCATTTGTCCATATAAGGCATGATTGTCACTTTCTGCGGTGTCCAAGGCGGTCTGCAGCAAACAGCAAATTCAAAAATTACACTTCCAAATACTTCCATTAAATTTTCGAATATGATGTCAAAAAATTTTTTGAAATAAATGCTATGAACTAAAAAATGAAAATCAGTCGGTACACACGAATAATATTGGCCACACTTGACTCTAGTAAAAACCACGTTTCATTACGAGATGAGCGCGAATGGACGAAAGAGGGTGGTAAATTTCTGATCTTCCATTATGCACCACTCTATAGTTACAAGGCAGCCTCTGTAGCTTAACGTGATTACAGAAATTAAAGATAGGTATCGATTTTATACGCGCGCACCCGTGATGCACTTCATGGCTAGTTGCCTTCTAAGTGAAATTATCTTTATACTAACCTGCAGTTCAGTAAGCGTTTGCTCAATTCTTGTTCCACTTGAACAAATAGTGTGTACAGCGAATAGGAAAAGTATGAACACATTATCCGACTGAAACAATTTTTTGTAGGAATCGAGGGAGGCCAACCATTCCACAATGAAAAAAGGACAAACAAAAAAAAANAAAAAAAAAGGAAAAGATACCTCTACTATATTGGAATTCTGTAAAGCCTGTAAAGCATTATTCCATTCCTTTGCTAGCAGACATGCTCTCGTTGCTTCCACATGAAAAGGCAAGTGACCAAAAGATGCGGTGAGGGCATCCTGAACTACCAGGTATTGAGGTTCGGACACGGAACTGAACTAGCAAATTGCTAACTGCCAAATGCTAACACTTTCAGGGAGTAAATTATGAAGTTTCCCGCCAAATAACAAGAAATACAGCCTTCCATACTCAGTTGAAACTCCCGCAGTAGGACCTACACCTCAAAAGGACGACGTTCCTTCACCGGATAAACAAGTGGGGAGCAGATCACAAAAATTCATGGGTAGTGGAGATTAAGAATGAGCAAATGATGCCGCCCTCACCTGTCCTGCCTAAGGAATGAATCTTGGATCGGATTCAACTCGACCCGGACAACTTTTTGATTCAAAAGCGATTTTAATACCCTAAAATTCCATAGATAAGAGCGGGTGATCCTACCGTTGAAAAATAAATTGAAAAAATCGAAATTGAATGCAGTCACCCTCTAACTTGATGGATGGATAAATTAAACTTCGAAGAAGAAGTTANTAACTTCTTCTTCGAAGTTTAATTTATCCATCCATCAAGTCAGAGGGTGACTGCATTCAATTTCGATTTTTTCCAATTCACCGGTAGGTTCACCCGCTCTTATCTATGGAATTTTAGGGTACATTATCCGTGTAGAAGGGAAGAACGCAGCACCATACGAAACCACTGTCAACTAATGAGGAGGGGTCAATAAATATCAGCAATACCACCAGGTTGGCAACTAAGTACTGCGAACATTTTAGGAATATAATTATCTTTTTACGAAAAAGAAGCACTCATTCAATTATGTTTGCATATAAAGTACCGAGGGAACTAGTGAACGGAAATAAATCACTTTGGAATCAATTGATTGCCCTTTGAGAAAAATATTTGAAATACTCAGAAGAACACGCAGCGACTTATTCACCAACCTAATACGTAAAATACATCCGCAGGGAAAACTCCGGCTATTCACTCAACGTAGTAGTGCCTATGGTATGCTTCAAATTGTAAGGAAGGTCAAAACTTTGGTAAACTTTGGTAGCACTTAGGCCGATCATTCTTCAGCCTGGTATGGAATATATATGCAAGTTCAACTAAATAATGAAATCGAAGAATGAACCTAACCCGAACAGGGATTGATCAAACTTATGTAATTAATCCTTCAGACTCATTCCTGAGTAAAAGAAAAGATCGAAGATTGATATGGAAGAAACCAGCCGACTAACATCACCCCNAGCTCTCCATTTTCAATGTATTTGTTTCACAACATCATCTCCATCAAAGATAAAGCGTTTTGCAAGGGTGCATGTAGTGCTTCACTAGTTGTTTATGGGAGGCTAAGTTCACAATGTTTAAGGTTCCTCACAAAAACGAAAAACACAGATTTCCAATGTTTATATTTGTGGAGTAATCGCCAATTACACAAAAGTGATCCACCTCTACAATGAACTCAGCTCATACTCCCTTCCACCTTAGCAACCACAAGGATTGAGCCCAACTAGTGCGCCCAGTATAGCTTTGCTAAATACACCCAATTTCAGACATTCTAAGACGACCTACCTTGCACAGCGATTTGGCATCACTCGCCAGCTGTCTGCATGTAAATATAGCCATTTTGCCGACATAACCGTCGAGATATCCTCCGTCGATTGCTCGCTCAAACATTTCCAGCGTAGATTTCTGATCTTTACCGAGCAAAAGGTCCGTCCATCCCGATAGGCAGACTATCTGGAATTAGAACGATTACTCCAGGGAGAAAACTATCGAATTTTGTTTCTTTATTCAGATAAACTACACGGAGAAATAGACGAGAGATCAGAAGTGCAGCTCGTGGTACATGGGCAACCCGGGTTCGATTCCTGCCAAAACAAAGCTTGTATAATGCTAAAAAAACCATCGTTTTTTCTTGGTTGATTCCTGAGGGTTATTTCTTGCTGACAGGGCTGACAAAGGTGTGAGAATAAGAACCCCTAAACCCCTTTGCCCCTACACCATGGCGCTGCTGCAGCGCCACCAAAGTTTTAACGTCTGATTATTTATATACATAATTTCGATTAGAAATGTCAAGAGCATCACTTACCAAAGAATTATCCGGATTGGATCTGGCGATTCTGTCAAGAATCGGTTTTGCTTTGGCGTAGTCTTTTTGGAAAAACAGAGCTTCGGCAGCTGAAAACTGCTCCATTGGCGGCGCATCATTGATCTCCATCAGAGCGGATTCAATTTCCATTAACGACTGACGATCTAAAATTATAAGTTAACAGGAAGATCAGCAGAAGATTGATAATCACCGGATAGGCATGTTTTCTTGTATTTTTGACCGAGCTTGTGCTGATGAAAGTTGACTACTTGCATGGAAATGTAACAGATATCGCAGCTCGAACGTCTCAGTAGTATTAGTTAGAAAGGCGAAATGGGCACTCAGACGTTATAGGGGTCCTGACTGAGGTTGGACGAGTTAATCACCTTGAGCTCGGACTCTCCGTGGCTTTATTTTACATGGTGAACTCCCCGACAACTACGAAGGAAGTGGCCCTCACGAATAAGATGAACAACGTCGCGGCCAAAAGTCTAGTAGAAACGACGGTAGAGGCTTTTTCTTTCTCTAAGTCTCCTTCCATCGACAAACCTTACTCTCACCCCGACCACTTACTTCAGATTACTACTAGTCATAAAATATCGTCAAATAACATATCCTTGGCTATCCTATATGAAGCATGGCGAAATTATTGTGAGATATTGAACTCGATCTGGTTTTTTGCTTCATCGGACCGCTTAACTCGGGGATAGCAGCAGCGTTGCAGCTTCCTATTGCGCATCAGTTGTTTGGTGAATGAGGTTTGTCGTGCAACAGCTCTTCTAGTTACTTGATTTGAGTTACAAAATTTTCGATAAATACTGAATAATTTCACGCCAAGGGAGATGGGCAAAAAGTTGAGGATCATATCATCCAATAATATTTTATTTAATTATTTATTTATTTATACACCCTCTTGAGTGCGCCACAACTAGTAACCAATAAACCACCCGCCACCCGCCACCACTGTACAAAGTGAGATTAGGAAGGGAGAGAAGACAAAATCACTAGTTTATACCAATCCTAGAAGCTGCACTGATTGAAAGGGCCTCGAAGATACCCTTATAGCCAGTAACAGCATCATTTGGACATGGTGCCCTCGTTCCGTAATAAGTCATAGGACAAAGCTGAAACTTCGGCACCGAGTATGCCAACTTCCATTCAAGGGTATCACTCAAGAGTGTTATGACCAGTAATGAACCAGCCGACTAAGCGACAATCTGTCCACAACTTTTGGTCTGTCACTAATAGAAGACCCGTCTGTAAGACACAGTTACTCTGGTAAAACCTCGTGGAATAGTAGGAAAAATCTCTTATCTACATGCCTTCCAGGTTGTTTTTCTTGCTTTCCTCTATTGCTCAACTTCCTAGCTGTATTTATTCCAGTCTATTTTATTTAATTGTTTTCAGAGAAGAGCATACTGCTCGCTGCATTCCCTGTACCGAAATAAAGGGTAAGCAGGTTAAAAACCAGCAGATACCTGGATTTTCGGCCTGAAGATGAGCATATTTCAGAGCGTATAGCGCTCCCATGGAGCACTCGCCCTTCCGTAAAGTTTCCAATAATCGCATCGCCTCGGCTGGTTTTCCTGAAGGAGAAAAACTATAACATTACTGTCTCAGACAATTCATGGTAAATTTCCAATCTGGGCCCAAGCAAACCCTAAAGTGGAACTTGCCGAAGCCATAGATTGTACTCTTGAGTGATCTTCAGAGATCACCGAAAAAAATGATTACCGAAACTGGAAATGGGACCACGTGCACGGATAATTGCTTCCCAGGAATCATCAGATATGGATATTTNTGGATATTTAATTGTCTCGGAGAATAGTTCAATTGCGGAATGCATGTCAAGTAGACATAGTTGGTCACTTAATACGTACTCAGTGCAGGCCAGGTCCTACAACTCGTAACGCCGCCTCTAAGCAGTTGCACTCTTTTTCAGCTATGATAAATACCTTGAGCTATGTTTGCAGGGAAAATGGGATAGAAAAAAAAACATTGCCGTCAGTGAGATAAGGAGCTCAATAGTAATAGTTACCAGAGTTTTTAACCACACTAGGATAACCTACAAAAGGCATGATTATTACGTTTCCTGATCTCCCTGATATTGCAAAGGATAATCCTCACCATTTAAGATAAGTGCAATCCCTTTGAGCAGTTGCACATGAGGTGAGTCTCCATTAGCTCCTCCACAACTTTTCAACGCTGTTCCGTAGTAGCCTTCGCTGAAAAGAGCGAACAAAGAGGACTTATTTAATATACTCTATCGAAAACAACAAAATGAAGGTGGAAATGACTTACCGCAGGTAGAAATGTACACTAGCAATCGTTTTTAAAATACTGTCGGAGTATTCAGTCATACGGAAGTTCGATACAGAATCAAAGGAGCCTGAAGTGACTCCCGTAATCATGGCTATCATGAACAACATAAGTAACTGTGGCAGGATGAAATAGTGCACCATTGTTTGTGTTTGAAATTTTTGATTGTTTGTGTTTGAAATTTTTGGCTTAAATTTTTCTTTTCTTCCTCTCCCAGTGACTAATACGAAAAGTGAACAAGAAATGGAAAAGCCGTAATGTTTGGGTGAGCTAGCTGGATTGCTTCTCTCCTTCAACTGTTGCTTCCTTCTCGACTGTTCTCAGACCGGGAAAAAATTAAATGCTAAGCAACTTATGCATTCGAACTAGAAGTCAATTCGCATTCTAAACAATTCCCCTAGACATGTTATACTAAAGCCAGATCGATAAATTTAGTACTTCCAATGAACCCCCTATGGATAGTTTCTAAGAAAACCCTGTAAAATGTTAAGCTACGTTATCTCGAATTGCGACTTCTAGTGTGTAGCGTGTGCGCTTGATAGCATGGGTTGATCCTGAACGGCTTCCCGATTTCTGATTTTTTACACTTTTCTTAACTCAATTGTTAAAGGCTTCCAAGAATTAGGGTCAAGTGAAAAGAATCGCGCTTTTGTCATAAGCCCTTCAAAGGCAACATCCTGAGATAAAATATTTAAACTAATACTGAATAGACCAAAATAATGAGAAGGCTGTTAGAAAGTAACAAGTACCTTTGAGGCGAGCAACGAAGGTCAGCTTTCAGTGTTGGTGCCATGACAACGGACGCGACATCGCAGAGCGGCGCTTGACGCGAATTCCTTTCACCTGACGGCAGATGAATCGGTTAGGAGCCATACTTTCAACAAGAGCTTAATAATCGATGGTAAAGTGAAAATATGTATATCCCTTCAATGTAGAAAACCTTGAAGAAAAAACAGAGCAACATTTAATAAATGAAAAACGAAAATTGGATGTGTCGTTTGGGTAAAACTTCCGAGACCACAACTCACCCACCTAATCAGGCATTCCACTGTTCAGCAATTACGTAGGCATCACTAAAAAGGTTCGATCACTCAGAAGAATTGGAAATAAGGAAAGCCGACATGTACCCACCTTCGTGACAACCGGCTGCACATCCATGCCGGAATCCAGACAACACACATGACGCATCTTTAGAGAAAAGCAGAAAGTAGTATGGGCTTCTCCATTCTTATGTTTAGTGGAATATCGGTTTCCAGCACAGCCTATTATATATCGTCTCCAAAATGTTAGTATTCATTGATTGGTTAAGTAGCAAAATATAGAACTCATCCAAAAGCAGCAGCGTAAAAGGTAATTTAATTTTAATGTAACAACTTCGCAACTGCGACTTGGAGATACCAGTAAGCGAAAACGTGGTGAGATAGGAAACCCTGGATACAACAAGACGGCCACGTGGCACCAAGTGAATACAGAGTTGCCTACGAAGCATTTTAGTGAATAGTGATATTTTAGTGATTAGTGGTAGTACGTTTTATTGAAAGGATCTTGAACAAAAGAGGTGCGTCGACCTCTACACGTTGCAACATAAAATAAGCTATCAAAAAACTGATCGTAGGCCGATCTAAATACTCCGAATCGGAGTGATTTTAACGTCCTGCGAACGTGTGATACAGTTACCCCCTATTACCGCAACACCCTCCCCCGTGGCGCCTCCTTTCTGTCGCGTCGTATGTGTGACGGGTGTTCGAAGGCGCTTGGCTGCTTCCATAGTCCGCGAGCGAGCGCGCGGGCTAATCGGGCGACTACTCTCCTAGTGGTATCGACCAAGATTCAGTTGCAAATAAGGGAAAAGCGCTGTCCCAACATCACAAGGTTGGCGATTTGTGGGCAAAACTCCAGTCTCGGACGGGACTTGAACCCGTACTTGTCCTTTCCGGGGACCGTGCTCTTATC